CTGTTGCCCAGGTGGTCGAGCACCTGCATCCCCCTCACCAGGTCGTCACCTGTGGCTGGGACTGGATCCAACAAGGCATCTCCCTTGGTGGGGCTGTGCAGCTCCTGGGTTAGATGGACGTCCTGCATTTGGGCTAGGAACCTACATGAGCGGTCAGACCTGGCTGACTGCTCTTCCCAACAGATGTCTGGAAAGTTCAGTTCCCCCATGATGACCATGTCCTTTGACCTAACTACCTCCGTGAGCTGATTTAAGAATTCCTGGTCTAGCTCTTCCCCTTGGTTGGGTGGTCTGTAGTAGACCCCCACCGTTAATTCTCTTCCCCTTCAACTGCCTTGTATTCTAACCCAGAGCACTTCTGTGTACCCCTCCTCTGTCTCTGTGCTACCTGGTGAGGATGTGTATTCCTCCGTAATGTAGAGCGCCACGCCCCTGCCTTTCCTCCCTGTCCTGTCCCTCCTGTACAGCCTATAGCCCTTTGATATTCACCACCCAGTCATGCATTGGGTCCCACCACGTTTCAGTGAGCACCACTATGTCTGGGTTGGTGTCAGCTGGCAGGAAGATAAGTGCCTCCTTCTTGTTTCCCATACTACAAGCGTTTGTGCAGAGGCATTTGAGGCCTCCTGTGGATGTGTGCACTATAGGCAGGGAACAGAACTGTTTTTGCTCTGTCCCTGTCCCATGTGGAACTTTTTCCAGGTTTATTCCACCCCTAGTCCCCTGCCTGTCCACACTAGGGCTGTGCGAAGCTTCGTCCCTTATTTGATTCTGTGACAATTCGGCCCGGTTCAGTGGCCGAATCTCCGAATCGAATCGGGAGACCCTCTAATCTCTCCGAATTAAATTGGACCCCTCTGAATTGATTTGGAAAGATTCGGGGATTCAGACATAGACACTGCTTTAAATGTTTTTTCTACATAGTTCTAGGGAGCAGGTGGCTTGTGAATGCTGCGATGTTGGGGTGCATGAGCATCTCACAGGAGCATGGGGGGCTCCCCAGCATGCTTGGCAGCAGACCCGGAAGTGGACCAGAAGCACTTCCAGTGCACTTCCTGATCCGCCTGGGAGTGTACTGCGCCCCCCAGCCTCCCCAGCTCGGCGATGGTGACAGGTGCCTCCTGGGTCTGGGGGGGCACCTGGTGTCCCCCTGTAGCCGATCACTGAGCTTGCGTACATGGGGGGTGGCCTGCACTTTCCCTGGTGAACCTGGAAATAGACTGGAAGTACTTCCGGGTTCACTGCCAAGCACGTGGTGGAGGGCCCCCATGCTCCTGTGGGATGCTCCATCTGTCCCACCTTCGCAGTGTTCATGAGCCATGCCTGGTACCTCAAGGTATGCAGAAAAAACATTTTAAAGCTGTGTCTGTGGCCGAATCGCTGATTCTCCGAATTGGCATCAAATCTTCAAATTCGGATTCAGCTGAATCAAATCAGGGGCAGTGATCCAAATCAATTAAATGAATCACTGTCTCTGATTTGGGCTGAATCTGAATTGAATATGGCCCATTTTGCACACCCCTAGGACAGGGTGTGGAGTTGTGGGAAGGGA